CGCGGATTACTACCTAGTATATAATTAACACACAAGGAAAGTAGAAAAACTTGACTAAAAGGCTTATATTAGTGCCGGAGAATCTATTATATAAAAAGTGAGTTGTGTCTCACAAACTTGAGACATCAGCTCTTCTCCTTATGACACATCAACTTTAAATTTATTATGAAAAAAATATTAACACCAATATTATGTTTTTAATAATCCCAGAAATCAAAAAAGAAAGAAATGTCCATTTTTGGTCAATAACACTCATTATTATCTCATTAATCTTATTCCTAGATGTTGGAAAGATGGAATAAAATGGTTATCATGGTGATAGTTTTTAAATTTGATTATTACGGTGATAGTTTTTACAAAGATAGTAAACTTCATCTAATGAAATAACTTGGTAAAACTGAGATGATTAATTTGCTGTGAATTATTTACTATCTTTATAATTGTAATCTCTTAACAAAATAGAGCTGTGAGTTATTTACTAACTAAAAATTTATTTACGAACTAAAATAGAGAATTAGAAATAAACTATTTAAAGCTTTATTAAAATTTTTTTCGGCTAATTATATGATTATGTTTAAACATAACCAGTTGGAATGATTGATAAACCTTTTATATTTTTAAAGTTGAAAATGTTACAACTACAATCACGGATGTAACTATGTAAGTAACCATTTTGAGAACAAATTTTAATACAATTAAAATTTACAGTTATCTTACTATATTTTCATTATTGTATAGTCTTTCCAGAGGAATTTTATAATTATAGTGTTTGGAATTTTAATATATATGTTTTTTTAATTCAAATGTTTCTTCGTCTAAAGTCATTGATTTGAGCTTATTATATGCCAATTTTCAGTACCTAAGTTTTCTACTTCTACAGAAATCATCCTAACAAGTGAAAAGATATCAAGAAAATAGAAATGTGTGACCAAAGCCTTGAAAATATTTTAAAATCATGCAAGTCTTCTTATCAGATAGCATATGGTAATTGAACTATAGAATCATAAGACATCATTTTGAGAAAACTTGGGCTGATGGTTTTTGACTTTGACATCAGAGTTTAAGAACCGCAAAGAGAGCTCCTTGACAAGCGCTTTGCTTCTCAAGTGACAAAGAGGGCTTTGCTTCTCAAGTGACAAAGAGGGCTTTGCTTATGCTTGGATCCATGGATACCATTTTGAATCATGTCTCTGGTTCACTCCCTCTATCTTTTATCCTCCTAAGAAACCTTAAAGAGAAACTCAACTGCATCAATAAGACTGATGCTGCGCTTATTGAAAGTGTAAAGATTGTGATTTAAAACTAGGCGGAGATGCTCAAAGTTGACATGTTTCTGATTCCCACAAGAGTATTGGTGGCTCTTTAGGCAAAAAAATTAAGGATGGAGAGTTCCATTTGTTGTTTAGAGGAGACAATGCTAATGTTATCTGTTACTTGACACTCAAGTTGGTAAGATTTCACTATTTTATCGTTTGTAAAGACTGCTCCAAAGTAGACGGCAATGCGTATTAAATTGAAGGTTGTTCCATCTTTTTTTCCAAGAATAACAGAGTAGAAGGCGATGATATCACCACACCAACGGTAGTTTCTGTGTAGTTCAATGCACAAAAACAGAAGGATACAAAGAATTGCTTGGGTTTATACATATGTGGTGAAGATTATGTGGTTAATGGAAAAATTGCTTCTAGGAAAATTAAGAGAGAAAAGTGCAGCATATACTAGCTATTAATAAGGTACTTTGTTATCTCCATTCTCTTTTTTTTTTTTCTGCATTTTTAAAAATTTGTGTAAAGAGAAAAATATAAGAAGTAAAAGGCAAAGAGAGAGTCAAAATTTACAGATAATATACCAAGGAGATGGTTAACAAAAAGAATGAGAGAGTGAAGATATTGCTCTCTCCTCTAGGATGTACAAGAAGTTTTCATATATATGTTTGATTTTTTTAAGGAACAAATAATTAAAGAATTTAAGTTCTTATAATTATAATTAGAGTAAACGAAAAGTGTTTTACATATAAAAATTTTAAGTAAAAGAGAGTAAAAAAACTATTATGGGAAGTTTACAAAAAGATTGAATAAACATAAATACTCAGAAAAGAGAAGAAAAAGTTATAACAAATCACATTACTCTAAATAGTAAAAACATTTTATCAATTATGGAATAATCAATCATCTATCTTGAATTAGGTTATATTTGTTAAAGTATAGTTTTTACCAATCAAAACTTAACTCCTAAACATTAAATATATATGAAATTTATTTTATTATATTAAATACAACTTAAAAAATCTAAATAATATATAAAGCCGCGTGTACCTTCACCTAATAAAAAGAAAACTTGAGCTATCTCTTAAGCCACGAAGTTTCTTCCTCCTTCCAAAACCCTAGTTCCGTTCCCAAATTACGCCAGAGCCACGCCGATTTGATTATCTCATCGCTCCTTTCGTTTCCGAATTCATCTCCGACCTCCATCCGCTCCTCCTTCGAGTGCTGGAGAAAGCTCTTGCCTCCGCTTCTGGTGATGCCTCCGTTCAGTTTGGTCTCATTGGTCGTACTCTCCAGCTCACTTCGCTTCTTATAGACTCCACTAAACGATGCTTCCGGAAACGAGCTTCTGCTCATAACTCCAATTCGTGGTTACTCCCTCCCGAACTCACCATCAAGGTAATTGATGTTAAAATTTTTTCCAATGCATGGTTTATGGATGTATACTATAGAATGACTTTGAAAACTCAGATTGAGCAACCTTTTCTTGTGTGTGATATTGAATTCAGTATTGTAAGTGCATGATGTCTCATGTATCGTGTCTATAATGGATATAAATTAATCAGGTGTTTTCGAAGCTTGAAACAAAGGATCTTATGCAAGCCATGGTGAGCTGCACCATGTTCCAAAAATGTGCCAAGGAACCTTTAGCTTACTCACACATCAACTTGACGACCAGAATCGTTGATGATGGAGATGTGCGTACCATGATCCATCGTGCTGGAAAGGAAATCAGGTGATGATATGATATTTTTTTGTGTATCAAGAAACCATATAATAATATATGGTTCTTCCAGTTGCAAGATGATCTACTAGATTACACTAATTCATTGGCAGCTTTTTGTTTGTTTGTTTGTTAAACTTGTTGGTTTATGTAAATCATTCCTCAGGAGTTTTCGTTTATGCATGCAGATCCCTTGAACTTGGACATGCTGGTCGCTCTGATAAATCTGCGAGAGAATTGCTTAAAGGAAGTTATCTTGCCCCACTTTCCCATAATCATGGGTATATTGGGTATTGTCTTGATATTTCAGTATCGAACTTGCTTTACCTATCTATGCAATTTGATGGTCTTTAACTAGACAAAGGTCTAGGCTGAGATCAGTTTAGAGAGAATCATCATCTTGCAATCTTGTTGAATCCTTTCAACATGTCGCCTATTTGTAATATCTATCACTAATATACAAATAAAAAAGAAATTGGTCCCCGCTTTGTATAGTTGTTGTTTTATCAGCGTTTGCATCTTTAAAATCTTCTATTTTGGTAATCATTTTTTTTTATTTTCCCATTCAACGAGGAAACACTTGAGACGCTACACCTTTACGATGTCAGATATATGGAAAACAAGAACTGTATTAAAGCGTTATCAGCTTGTTCCAATATCACTGATTTGAAGATTGTTGGAAAGTAAGTTGTCTTTGTTTGAATGTTACTGTCAGGTAATTTCATTATGCAGCATTTCTCTCATCTTTTCCGTGTTCCCTGTGACAGGTATGCCCCACCTGAGCAGATATTTAAGTCTCTCGCAAAATGCCGCTTCATAGAGAAACTGTTCTTAGAGATCTATGTTCTCAATTGTAAATATTCTCCACCGTGAAGTTTTCCATTATATATGTTTTACTCGAGCTTGATTACCTTCTTTGTAACTTCAGATCCATCAAAGAAAGAATCATCAGCCTTAGTGGAGTTTTTAACCAACATCCCAAGCGTAACCTCGTTAACACTCATTGGTTATAGTCTGAAAGATGCAACAGTCAAAACTCTTGCTAAGGTATATGACTCCATCAATCTGTTTTGTTTTTCATTTCTTCCTTGTTCATTAATTTGGTACCATTAATGCTTTTGCAGGGTGCACGTAAACTCAAGCACATGAATCTGTCTAAAAAACCAATAATTAAGGGTCGCTTTTTGAGGTTCATGTGTTTGCCTCTCAACATAATGTTAACAACGCTACTTGTTTATAAGCAAAAATTTCTGGTAACTGAAACATTTTTGATTGGGGTAGGGATCCGGGAAATCATTTAAAAGACAGTGCACTGGAGACTTTAATATTGAAAGACTGCTCATCTCTAGAGGAGGTAAAGGATTAAACGATAACCATTTTTTTTTTTTTGGTTGATGAATCACACTATATATCTTCATCTCACACGTCACTGACCTTGGGAATTACGGCATTTTTTTTTCAGAAAGAAGTTTCGCAGTTTTTGAATTCGCTACTCGCAGAAAACTTGAGATTCCTTAGGCACATTGTAAGTTGATTATAGAAATCTTGGTTAATTTGTGTGGAATGAAAGGGCGAGTATACTCATAATTAATCGACTTCTAATGGCGGCAAAAGAACTTACAAAATAAAGTAACTGATTGATTGTTCACTTTTGATTTAGATTGTTACCATTTCACCTAATGGGAATCACATGCAACTCTGTTTGCTGACATTGTTTTGGTTGTTGTTGTTGTTGTGTGTGTATGTGTTGTAGCTTCCCTCTGGACAAGCTGAAAGAAGAAAGACCAGGTGTCAAACTTGTTGCAGAATTTAAACCTGACGAGGAGGAAGACGCTGATAATTAATATTATAGAGTTGTTAAATTTGATAAATTTGATTTAGTATTATTTTTTTCCTTGAAATTTCTGTATTTATATACCATCAATTTGCCAAGCAGGGTTACAAAAGCCACTTTATATTTCTGTTTAGTATCACTTTTAAAGTGCGATTTGGCTGCCTGTGATGAGTATTTTTAACATGAGTAATTTTAACATGACGGATTTTGTAAAATCAAAGAATAAATTTTAAATAATAATTTGAACCATGATTTATGAATGAAATTGTAAGGAATTATTATCCCAAAATTTTCATAGAATTATAAAATTATTAAAATATAAACTTTTTGAATAAAAATAATTTTGATTAGATGATAAAAATTATCAAACTAATAACAATAATTTTTTAAAAAATATCATAATCCGTAAACCAATAACAGTAAAGTCTATTAAAAATCCATAAACTATATAGAATCTCGAACTTTAAAAAACTTTATAAACCAACTTTCTAATAACCCAATATTGTTACGAATTCATTTGTTTTTTTTTTCGGACGACAAATTCATTTGTTTTATATACATTAGTACAAAATAATAAAACGATATAAGGATTAAAAAATCCAAAAATATGGGCTCTGAGGGCGAACTAGGGTTAGCGGGTGCTCAAGGGACCTCGCCGACTGCTGAAGAGGATGCGACCATGTCAGACATCGGAGAGAAGGACAGACCACCGGGGGATCCTCCGGATGGGGGGAGTGTGTGGATCCAGAAGGTTACAGGTAGTGGTGCGGGAGGAAGGCTGTACCCTCAACGGGTGATGGATGCGGAGTTTGTGGAAGAGAGGATGCGTTTAGAGTTTCCGGATGGAGAGAATGGTGAACCAATGATTACGATCGGGGCAGAAGTGTTGGAACGGATGCATGGGCTGTGGAAGAGATGTATCATCGTCAAGGTGCTGGGGAGGCACGTTCAGATCGCTGGGCTCACGAGGAAACTTAAGGAACTGTGGAAACCTAAAGGGTCTATGCATGTGATTGATTTGCCGAGGCAATTCTTCATGGTTCGTTTCGAACTCGAAGAAGAATACTTAGCAGCGTTGTCAGGGGGTCCATGGAGAGTATTTGGTAGCTACCTTATGGTGCAAGCTTGGTCGCCGGAGTTTGACCCATTAACGGATGAAATCGTGACTACACCTGTCTGGGTGCGTTTGGCTGACATCCCAGTCACATTTTATCATGAAGCCATTTTGATGGGGATAGGACGTGGATTGGGACATCCAGTTCGGGTGGATTCGAATACGTTGTTGTTTGCAAGAGGTCGTTTCGCTCGGGTGTGTGTCGAAGTTGACCTATCTAAGCCACTCAAGGGTACAGTTCAGGTTAATGGTGAGAGATATTATGTAGCCTATGAAGGGTTAACTAATATTTGTTCGAAGTGCGGGGTTTACGGCCATTTGGTACACACATGTCCTCGTGTGGTTCGAGAGACGGCCACGGTGGCGGCTACCAAGCCAGTGACTGTAATTTCTCGGGAGGTACCGGTGGATAAGGAGGGTTTTCAGGAGGTGAGGAGACGGGGGCGCAAACCGCCAACGCAGACGGAGAAGGGTGCGAGCACGGCGGCTGGTGCGCAAGATAGGTCTAAGAATATTCTCAAGGAGATTTCACCGAATATTCCCATAACTAACAGATTTGGAGATTTGGGCGAAGATATGATTGAGGATGAGATAAGGGAAGTGGTGAATAATCAGGAGAAGAATAAGGAAATTGTTGGGGTGGAGAATCCGAGGGGGAAGAGTGCGAGTCAAGGAACGATTGGGGAAGGCCTACCAGTTTTTTCCGCAGGCCCATTAGGAGACCGTGAGACTGGTACAGCTAGGAGACAAAATGGGATTAAGCCTGTGAGACCAGTTAAGACCAATAACCGTAATGAGAAAACAGGCCCACGATTTTCAAGCAACAAAAACCAGAAGCCCACTCGGGGATTGGTTTTCGGACCAACACGAGGTGAGGTTGAACTCTCAGGATTAGGCAAACGGCTTCGAGTGGAGTTGGTTGAAGCAGGTCGACCTGGAGGAGTGATTGGGACGAACGGATACAGCGAGAATATGGTTGCAGGATCTAGCCTGAACACTGAGGTGGTGATGAATCAGGTAATGGTGGATGGCGAATTGAAACAGATGGAAGAAGAGGAGCAGATACCTCCACCGGAGAGGGTGGAGTCAGGGACTGCCAGTTAACGCCGTTCCCCGGCGATTTTACACGATTTATACCAGATTTTAATGGATTGCTTATTTTGGAATTGCCGGGGGGCCAACAAACCCAATTTCTGACGTTCGATTAGATATATGTTGAAGAAATATAGTATTGATGTATTGGCGATCTTCGAAACACATGCTGGTGGAGATAGAGCTGGTCGGATATGTCAAGGATTGGGGATGGAGAATTCGTTTAGGGTTGATGCTGTGGGGCAAAGTGGAGGTTTGTGGCTGTTGTGGAGATCAAGCGTGGGCACGGTGGTAGTAGAGGAATTATCAGACCAGCTTATCTATGCAACGGTGACAAATGGTACTGAGATGATACACTTAATTGTGGTTTATGCGGCGCCAACGGTTAGCCGCCGAAGTGGGTTGTGGGAGAAACTCAGCTCAGTGATTCATGGAGTCAATGGGCCGCTTATTATCGGAGGTGATTTTAACACCATAGTCCGACTAGATGAAAGATCTGGAGGGAATGGGAGATTGTCGTCTGATTCTATAGCCTTTGGGGATTGGATGCAGAGACATTCGCTCATTGATATGGGCTTCCGTGGGAAGCGTTTTACTTGGAGGAGAGGAACTGCTGCTAGTACGTATGTAGCGAAGAGATTAGACAAGGTTCTATGTTGTCCTCAAGCTCGGTTGACATGGCAGGAGGCGGTTGTTACGCATTTGCCTTTCCTGTCATCAGACCATACCCCGTTATACCTGCAGCTACAACCAGCCACAAAAGGAAACCCGAAGAGACGTCCTTTCCGGTTCGAAGCTGCCTGGTTGAAACATGAGAGCTTTAAGGAGCTGTTGCAAAACTCTTGGAATGGGGTTATTAGTACGCCAGAGGCTCTGGATGGTTTAAGGCAGAAGCTAAAGAAGTGGAATCGCGATGTTTTTGGTGATATCCATAAGAAGAAGGAAAAGCTAGGGGAAGAAATTAAGACAATTCAGGACTTACTGGATGTATGCCCAACGGATACCTTAATACAGCAAGAGGAGGCGCTTGTTAAGGAATTTGAACTAATTTTGGAACAAGAAGAGATGTTATGGTTCCAAAAATCGAGGGAAAAGTGGATCGCGTTAGGGGACCGAAACACTAAGTTTTTTCACACATCTACCATTATCAGAAGAAGAAAGAACCGGATTGAGATGCTGAGAAATAGTGAGGATGTTTGGGTTTCGGATTCCATGGAGCTGGAAAATCTTGCTGTGAGCTATTATAAAAGACTTTACTCTTTAGAGGATGTGGATCAGGTTGTTGAGAAGCTCCCATCAGTAGGATTTCCGGGTCTGTCTATGGAAGAGATTAAGAAGCTAAATAAACCTTTTGTTGCAGCAGAGGTAGAAGAATCGATTAGGAGTATGGGCCCCTTCAAAGCCCCGGGACCTGATGGGTTCAACCCGGGCTTCTATCAACATTGTTGGGAGGTTGTGGGGCCATCCGTGGTCAGGTTTGTCCTGGATTTCTTTGAAACAGGGACACTACCAGAGGCAATGAATGATGCTTTGCTCGTTCTAATAGCTAAAGTGGCCAAACCGGAGAGGATTACGCAGTTCCGACCTATCAGCTTATGCAATGTCTTGTTTAAAACGATTACTAAGGCGATGGTGATAAGGCTTAAGAAAGGTTATGCCGAAATTGATTGGGCCAGCTCAATCGAGCTTTATACCAGGGCGGTTGAGTACAGACAACATCATTATCGTCCAAGAGGCGGTCCATTCAATGCGTCGCAAGAAAGGGAGAAAGGGATGGATGTTGTTAAAGTTGGATTTAGAGAAAGCATAAGATCGAATACGGTGGGATTTTTTGGAGGATACCCTTCGGTCTGCTATATTACCTAGTGATTGGATTCGGTGGATTATGCAGAGTGTAACTGGGGCTTCTATGCATCTGATGTGGAACGGAGAGAAATCGGATCCTTTCCAACCAGCCCGAGGGCTCCGTCAAGGAGATCCCTTGTCGCCATATCTCTTTGTGCTGTGTTTAGAGAGTCTTTGTCACCTCATTGAACTATCGATAGCAAACAAGGAATGGAAGCCTATAAACCTCTCTCGTGGCGGCCCTAAACTCTCCCACGTTTGTTTTGCAGATGATCTTATTCTGTTTGCTGAGACATCCGTTTCACAGGTTCGAATAATCAGGAAGGTTCTGGAGAGATTCTGTATTGCTTCAGGGGAAAAGGTCAGCTTGGAAAAGTCGAAAATCTTTTTCTCTGAGTATGTGCATCGGGATCTAGCTAAACTAATTAGCGATGAAAGCGGAATTCAAGTTACTCATGATTTAGGCAAGTACTTGGGCATGCCGGTTTTGCAAAAGAGAATCAATAAAGACACTTTCGGTGAAGTCTTAGAGAAGGTTTCTTCAAGACTCTCGGGATGGAAGGGCCGATTTCTGAGTTTTGCGGGGAGAATCACTCTTACAAAGGCAGTCCTTTCGTCAATTCCGGTTCATTGGATGAGTACAGTTTCTCTTCCAGCAAGTATTCTCGATAAATTAGATAAAGTCTCAAGGGCGTTTGTGTGGGGGAGTACTACAGAGAAGAAGAAGCAACACCTTGTGGCCTGGGATCAAGTCTGTATTCCTAAGAGTGAAGGTGGTTTAGGAATTCGTTCAGCAAGGCCTATGAATAAGGCGCTATTGGGCAAGTTGGGCTGGAGACTAATTCAGGATCGGGAGAGTCTCTGGGCCCGTATTTTACGACAGAAATATAAGGTGGGGAGTCTTCATGAAACCAGTTGGATGGGGCCGAAAGGGAATGGATCTTCAACTTGGAAAAGCATTGGGCTGGGCCTAAGGGTAGTGGTGAAACCTGGGCTGCGTTGGGTTATTGGGGATGGACGTAATGTTCTTTTCTGGAAAGATATGTGGCTTGGTGATAAACCTTTGGTGGATGAGATAGTGGACTTGATCCCGGAAGTAGAGATGAAACTGACGGCAAGAGACTTATGGAGAGAGGGTAGAGGCTGGGACCTGCAACGGATTTACCCTCATGTTGGTTTAACAACGAAGTTGAAGCTATCGGCGGTTGTGCTTGATAGTTTCACTGGTGCGAGAGACAGAATTTCGTGGGGAGGGGAAGCTGATGGGAGCTTTTCTGTGCGGTCCGCGTATGCGATGTTAACCAAATGTGAGGAACCACGACCGTATATGGCAAAGATTTATGACAGAGTCTGGTCTGTTATGGCTCCGGAGAGGGTTCGGACGTTTCTGTGGCTTGTAATGCACCAGGCGATTATGACGAATGAGGAGAGACATCGTCGACATCTATGTACCACGAGTACCTGTCAGGTGTGTAAATTGGGAGTAGAAAGCATTATACATGTACTCCGCGATTGTCAAGCAATCTCAGGCGTATGGGATAGATTGGTACCACGTCGATGGTCACAAAATTTCTATCATAAAACGTTATTGGAATGGCTATTTTGGAACCTCGGAGAGGATGGGGAGATTTATGGCAGCCCGTGGTCTTCTCTGTTTGCTATGACGGTTTGGTGGGGATGGAAATGGAGATGCGGCAATGTCTTTGGATCCAATGGTAAATGTCGGGACCGGGTAAAATTCCTAAAGGAGCTATCAAAGGACGTGGTGAAAGCTAATTTGCTAGTGAATGAGCGATCAACCAGAGGCGTCTTGGTGGAAAGAATGATTTCATGGGTACCACCTGGAGATGGTTGGATAAAGCTAAACACTGATGGGGCTTCAAGAGGAAATCCAGGCCTAGCGGCAGCTGGGGGTATTTTGCGAGACAGTGCTGGGACTTGGAAAGGTGGCTTTGCCCTTAATATAGGGATTTGCTCCGCCCCTCTTGCTGAACTATGGGGTGTGTATTATGGTTTTTATATTGCTTGGGAGCAAAGAATACAGCGGGTGGAATTGGAGGTGGATTCGGAGAGTGTGGTAGGTTTTCTGAAGACAGGGATAAGTGACGCTCATCCGCTGTCGTTCCTGGTACGCTTGTGCCATGGCTTTATTTCGAGAGACTGGATAGTCCGTATCTCACACGTGTATAGGAAGGCTAACCGCCTGGCGGATGGGTTAGCGAACTATGCCTTTTCTTTACCTTTAGGTTTTCATATGCTTTCTTCTCGCCTTGAGCTTGTTAATTCGATTTTATTGGACGATGCGAACGGATCTGCACGCCCACGTAATATTCGTGTATAATTTGTTTTATTTTTATTTTTTTTAATAATTAAGGGGGTCTACCCCCTCCCTTACCAAAAAAAAAATAATAATAAAACGATAGAAGGGAGAAAATCAGAAAACTCATTAGATGTTAGGTTTCATGGGTTCTCCGACGACAAACCCCACCCAAAACCCTAGTTTATGCGTCTCTACTTTTACCGCCTTCAGCCAAAGCCACGCCGATTTGATTATCTCGTCGCTACTTTCGTTTCCGGATTCATCTCCGACCTCCATCGGCTGCCCCTTGGATCGAGTGCTGGAGAAAGCTCTCGCCTCAGCTTCTGGTGATGTCTCCGTTCAAGATTGTCTCCTCGATCGTGCTCTCCATATCCAGTCGCTTCTTCTAGACTCCACTAAACGATGCTTCCGTAAACGAGCTTCTCTTCACAATTCCGGTTCTTGGTTCCTCCCTCCCGAACTCACCATTAAGGTAATTACAAATCTTCATATTTTGGGAGGGGATATGCAATCTTGAGTAACTTCCTCGACTTTGTTTTTTTTAAGGTGTTTTCGATGCTTGATACAAAGTCTCTAATGCAAGCAGCCGCTTGCTGCAAAATGTTCAACAACTGTGCAATGGACCGTTTATCTTACGCTCACATCGACTTGACCACCGCTACTAAACAAGCTGACCATAGTGTTGTTTGTACTATGATCCATCGTGCTGGAAAAGAACTCAGGTAAGCTAGGGTTTCTGTCTTCAACCAACATTCAAATGTGCTTCTGTTCTTTTAACTTGTACGTCTATTGCATACGTGATCATTTCTCATGTTTATGCATGTAGATCTCTCAAGCTTGGTCCTGTTGCTCGTCCTGCTGGATCTGATCCTACTCTAACTTTCGTTACATGGCCTTTTCTTTCCCCGCTGTGCTATAATCATGGTTTTCTTGGGTATTGGCTTCATTACCTCTTTTTTGAAACCTAGCTTTTTATTTTCTTTATGACTGACATGTCTAGTATTAGCCAAACCTAATGGAGTTTGGTTATGGTTTCGTTAGATAGGAAAGAACTAGAGTAGGGAAAAGATCCCAATACAATCTCATCTTACCCTTTTATTCCTGGACTTTATCTAATCTTCTAATTTGGTATCGTCTTTTTTCTGTTCAACTAGGAGTCGCTTGAGAAGCCTACGGCTTTACAACATCAGACCTATGAACCTCAGTTCCCTAAGGGATGTGTTATCAGTTTTTTCAAATCTCACTGATCTGAGGATTGTTGGTTTGTAAGTTTTCTGAGTGTGCCTGTTCGTTTTTCCTTTGTACAGAGGAAGTATCATATTGTTAGCAATTCTATTTTTCTTTAGATTATATTGCTGCTATTTTAATGTCTGTCGACTTTATAATATTATATGCTAATTCCTTGTGCAATACTCCCTAACATTTTGCATTACTCCGTGTTTCATGTGACAGAATTAGTCCATTTATGCATCTGTTTAAGACACTGTCAGAAAAATGTCGTCTGATAGAGAACCTGTGCTTAGAAACCTATCAATTCCCAGGTAAAGCTCTTCCACTAATCCACTGCATGTGAAGTTTCTTGGTTTGTTTACTCAGAGCATCCACAACGCGAGTATTTATTCAGGTCTCTAGCAATTTTTTTAATTAAAAAATACAAGTAGAAGAGAAAATTTGCTGGAGAAGTTTCTTTAATGGGTATCGATGGAGACGTTTCTTCCCTACTTTTAATATTAAAAAAGTTGGGAAAAGACCAAAGACTGTATTTGCCTTGCGGATGCTCTCAGAGGTTTTCTCAAGCTTACCTAATGTGTAACAGGTATCATAGACACTAAAATGGGTTCACCCTTGGTGGAGTTTGTGACCAACTCCCCCAACTTGATTTCTCTAACGCTCATATATTTTCCACTAACCGATGAAATGGCTAGGACTCTTGTTGAGGTATGGCGTCTATATTCGATTATTTTTTTTCTGGTATTTCTTCTCTCTTCATTTGACACCATTATGCTTTTACACCTCCCAAAAAAAAATTCCGATGTTATTTGCAGAGTTCTCGTAAACTGAAGTACCTGAATTTGTCCAGATCGTCTACAATTAACGGTCGTTTTTTGAGGTGCAAACACAATTTTTTTAATAGCACACTATTCGTCCAAAAGTCTTAATTAGCAAAACTTCACAAAGCAATAAATAATCGATTGTATAGGGATTTGGGAAATAGCTGCAAAGACAGTCCGTTCAAGACTCTTGTACTGCGCAACTGCCCTAATCTACTTGAAGTAAAAGATTATAAACCATAACAAGTTTAAATTTTTGTTTGTTTCAGCAGTCTTGATCTCATCACACTCACTGTCACTCAAATGAAATTTCAGAAAGAAGTCTTGAAACTTTGTAACTCACTACTCAAAGGAAACTTCAAATCCATTCGGCACATTGTAAGTTGTTATATAGGTTTATGCCAAACTCTCTATCTATGAGGATGAAAGGTATAACCTGTGGTTTACTCATGATGATCTTCATTCTTCTCCAATATAGGATGTTTCAAATAACTGCGGCTTAGTTTCTGAATTTGGCGATAGAACTTCCAAACCAAAGTAAACCGATTGATCCTTCATTTTCTATTTTGATTGTTATTAACACTTCACCAATGAGAATCACAACTCGGTCCATGTGATCAGTACCAACGATTCACTGAGAGTTATACTATTTGATAGGCATTACTATATTTTGTTGTAGATTTCCTCTGGAGAAGCTGAAAGAAGAAAGAGCAGATGTTACATTTGTGGCGGATTTTTCACTAACAAGGTTTTCATCGATCGATTACTATTATTAGGCTATATTTTTCAAGTATATATACAAATCATGATGATTTAACGTATAAAATGGGGATTTTAATATTTGTAAAATTCAGGTCAGAAAAGCGTTATGGAATTTACGATGAAGAAGAGTTGAGGCTGATAGAGAATGGGTTAGCCGAGAACGAGGAAGAGGATGACAGTCGGTTCTTCAGTACAACCGATGATTCGAGTGAAGATGATGACTTGGACTTGGACGAGGATGAGGATGACAATACAACGGATGATACGAGTGAAGATGACTCGGACGAGGACATGGGCTTTGCTATGTGAAATTAAATAATGCCCCTTGTTAATCGTCAATATATATATATATATATATATACATAGTTTAGTGATGATACTTGCTTTAGCATATCGACCTTTATAAGTAAGTACTAACTGTACTAGTAGGGCTTATCTAATCTATTATCCAAATTAATTTAAGTACTCGTCCTAATCCGTTTCTAATATTTTTTTTAAATGGCACATTATTAGATTTCATAAAAAAAAGACACACAAATAAATAATTAAATACGCGTGAAAAGTCGCTCTCAATCTATTCTATTAAAACAGAAACACATTTAGTGCTTGCATCCAAACACTCCCAAAGCTTTTTTTATAATATTTAATTTTATTTTTATATTTAATTTTCGAAAATTAGTTATTAATTTAGATATTTTTAGATTTCAAAAAAATCTAGGTCATCTTTAATTCAAATTTCAAATTATTAGAAATTTAATTAAATTTAGTTACAAAAATTTTCATTCAATTTAATTTAAATTCAAAAAAATCAAAAAAATGATAATTAAATTTTATTACGAAAATTTAGATAATAATTTTAATACTTTAGAATTTCTTAAATACATGAAAGATTTAATTTAAAATTTTTAATTTAAATAATATTTTTATAAAAATGCATAGTTAATAAATATTTTATCGTATTTTATCATAAACAATCAGTCTAAAATATCATATATTTGAAATTAATAAATATTTATATTATACAATAATATGATCGAGCTGATTAGAGTTATATATATATATGATTTGATACAATTAAACTAACAGGTTAGCCCGTTTATATATATATATATATATACACATTTTTTTAATAGCACAAATAGTAAATAAATATTTTATTATATTTTTTCATAATCAATTGATCCAAATATTCCATATTAGTAAATATTTATAGAGTTATACAATTATAATTATAGTCTTATATGGGTTAGTTTGTTAAAACATGTAAGATATTAAAAATGATTTAAGACAACTAAACGGATGAATTAGCAAATTCATAGATATAAAGATTGTTTATGTGTAAATTTAAATTCACATAATAACAAAGTTTATAATTAACTTTAGATTAATGTATACTTAATTAACGTATACTCTTATTCTACTAATATACAAATTTTACTGTTTAAAATTAAAATATGATAACAATTTTTTGATTTAACAAAATAAATAACAAAAACAAATTATATGTAAACAAAAAAGATAAATGTAACTTATATTAGAAATAAAAAAAAACAAAAAAGATAAATACAACTTATATTAGAAATAAAATAAAAATAAAACATTCTCGTTGGAGTTAAAATCTAGTTAAGCCTTAAAGCTCTTGCAACGTTGTTTGTCGCCAAGAAAACTCCTAAACCCTAGCTCCCTTATTGCTTTAGATATGAACCAGAGCGACTTTGTACTTGGTCAAGTTCTTTCCTCGATGATTATTTGAGCGAAGATGATTCCGTTCAGGATGGTCTCATCGATCATGCTCGCAAACTCGCCTCGGTTCTTCATGAATCAAGCAGTCGCTTTTCCCGGAAGTGGGCTACTCTCTACAATTCCAGTTCTTGGTCCCTCCCTCAAGATCTCACTATTAAGGTTATGAATCTCAAACCTACGTTTATTGAATCTATAGACGTTTGCTTTTGATCCTGTTATTTTGATTTTTTTTTTCTCTTGGGATATATGATAGATCAAGAGTCAGGCAAAAGAATAAGGATTCTCAAGTAAATACGTACTTAGGTCCTTTTTTTTTCGACACAATGTTTTAGGGCTTTTTTTTTTCTTTTCCTTTTTTACTTGATTTTTTTCATTTCTTACGGAGCATATCCATAAACCCACTTAGTATCAAGCGATTCAAGTAAAAAAGGAAAAGGTATATCTTGTGACTTATTAATGATCTGTGTGTGTGTGTTTTTTTTTGGGGGGGGGGGGAGGGAGGGAAATTAATTATGGATATGTTTTCTTGAGTGATAGATTTTCACATATTGTGTGTTTATAATGCATAAACAGGTCTTCTTTATGCTTTATACAAAGTCTCTAATGCAAGCTGCTGGATGCTGCAGCATGTTCCGCAGTTATTCTATGGATCCTGTATGTTACTCTCACATTGACTTGACCACGACTCTCGACTTCGTTGGTGATAAAGTTGTGTGTACCATTTGATCCATCGTGCTGGAAAGCAATTCAGGTGAGATAACCAAATCTGTATTATTTATTGTATATATATATATATATATTGAACAATTTATAAGAGACTTATCTTGTTTAGCAAAATATATAAGTCGAGAGTCGTGGTCAAGTAGAGTCGTGGTCAATTCATTTTGGTAAAACCAGCCTTTCGTAGATATTACTGTAACAATGATTCTGGCGTACTGAAATAAGGGGAAAAGTGTGTGTTTTATTTTTTTTTGAATGAATGTTAAATTTGATTCAACCCAAAAAAAAAACGTTTTTACATCAAAAGATGCTAACTAGTGATAGTTGCAGAGAGATTTTATAAAAACCAAAACACTTTTACAATCGCACTTAAAGTGAAGCATATGCTTGGGGTCATGACGTTGCTTGCGCAGCAAGCCACTTCTGCATCCCTTCTTCATAAACCATGTCCCCCAATATACGGATGGAACTGAATCGATTTCTCATCATTTTGTCAATATGCTTGGCAATCTGCTCAACTGTTCTTGGAGCATCCCCATGCCTCCTGCTATTTCGCTCTCTCCAAATGACATAGATGGTTAGCTGAAGAATGTATCTAAGAATGAAAGTGCTTAGACATCTTTTTTTGTTTACCGAGATTTTCACCACCAATTCCTCCCACTGTGAAGTGTAGTCTTGTATCATGATGCCCTTTGCAACCTTGGACCAGATATTCTCTGTATAGTGACATCCAAAAAACAGATGTGCTCTGTTTTCTAGATGACCGCTACAGAAAATACAGGTTGTATCCACATGCACATTCCATAAAGACATACGGTCTCCTGTGTTGAGTCTATCGAGGATTGCCAACCATGTTATGAAAGCAAACTTTGGGGTATGATATTTAAACCAAACACCACGTGCCCATTGGACCTGTGGAATGTGGATTCTGATCAGTTCTCTAGTATCCTTGGAGCTGAACTTCCCTCTATAATTTCCTCCTTTGGTTTTCCATAGATAGTAGTCTTCGTTATCCTCTCTATATCTGCTCTTAACCTTATCCAACTCATCTTCAACTTGATTGTAAAAAGCTAATCGATGGCGCCTTCTTCTATGGTTAATATGGCATCTTCCATTGTTCCGTATTCTCCAATTCCTATATCGATGAAGCCCCGTGATCCCACAGCACTAAGCAGTCTACCGAGAGGAGACCAAACTTCATGCCAAAAAGAAACCAACCGACCATTTCCCACCTCTACTTTTAAAAGCTCTGCTGCTCTGTTACGTGCTTTCAGAATTTGTTTCCAAGTCCACGAGCCTTTCCAAGTTGCAGTGTTATCCGATATTGACCAAATAAAACCCCCACGCAGATGATTTATCTTTGACCACCTTACCCAAAGAGACGACTGCGTAGTAACCAGGCGCCATATGAGTTTTAAACCACAAACATCGTTAACCTCACGGAAGTTCTTTAGACCCAGACCCCCTTCTGTTTTCGGTTTGCATATATCTCTCCACGCAACTTTGGCCTTATGAGTATTCAGAGTAGGTCCTGACCATAAGAAAGCTGAACATATGCTTTCTATTTCATCAATACACTTATTTGGGAGTCTGAACGCCGCCATCCAAAAGTTTATGAGACTAGATATTACCGATGTGAGCAACTGCAACCGACCTGCGAATGACAAAAACCTTGCAGTCCATGTGCCAATTCGCTTCTTTATCTGCTCTATAGGAGTGGAGTAATCCAGAGATGTCATTTTTTTAGTGAGAAGCGGCAAGCCTAAATACCTCACTGGTAAAGTCCCAATCTCAAAAGGAAATCTCTGAGATATTTGAACCCTTGTTGCACCCGAGACACCTGCTAAATATGCTGTAGATTTCTCTAAGCTTATCTTTAGGCCCGACATCATTGAGAACTCGTCAAAAACACTTATAATCCCTTCCAAAGATCGCAGAGTTCCATCAGAAAACACCATCAAATCATCAGCGAAGCAAAGATGTGTTAAAGATATTTGAGAACACTTGGGATGAAAACCAAATCTTCTCTGATTTGCAGCTCTATCAAGCATCTTTGACAGGACATTCATACACACTACAAACAGATATGGAGAGAGGGAACAGCCTTGGCGAAGTCCTCTAGAGCTTCCAAAATATCCAGCTAACTCTCCATTCACCTGGACAGAGAAAGAAGCTGTGGTGATACATAACTTAACCCAATGAATGAATTTCTCAGGTAAATGCAGTGCCTCCAACACATTCAACAAAAAGCTCCATTGGACTGAATCAAAAGCCTTGGATATGTCTATCTTAAGTGCACATCTCGGAGAGATTTGTTCTTTGTGATAGCCAGAAACTAGCTCAGTAGCAAGAAGAAGATTTTCGATCAGTAGTCTATCTTGAACAAATGCTGACTGGTTCATCGCAATGAAGCTAGGCAGAATTTGTTTCAATCTATTAGCTAGAAGCTTTGATATGATCTTGTATATAACATTGCAACAGGATATGGGGCGATAGTCCTTCATCTGTTTCACCCCCTCTTTTTTTGGTATCAGAGCAAGAATAGTGGAGTTCACACCCTTGGGAAGAAAACCCTTAATAAAAAAGGATTGAATACTGGTGACTAAATCCTTTCCAATGACCGGCCATGCTGCCTTATAAAACTCCACCGTGTAACCGTCTGGTCCCGGAGATTTATTACCAGCCATGGAAAACAGCACATCCTTAATCTCCTTCTCTGAAACTTCCCTCATCAAAAGCTTCCTGTCCTCTTCCCCACATTCAAACCCAAGCAGCTCCTTTAAGTCACTTATTGCCGTGTGTTGTAAATCATCTGGCACATGATTTAAAAAACCTTTGAAATGATG